TCTTGAATTAATCAAGTGGAAAAGACAATTCTCTATGATCATTACTATTTTACAAATGTTTTGATAATCAAATTGTGTTAGTTCAAACAATGTTTACATGTTGAAGTGAACTACTCATTTTTATTAACTGTGAAACAGTAGTAATGATTTTTATTCCTCAATTCAAAGTGAAATCAAGTTAGAGTACATTACAGAGTAATGATTCAATTTCTTGATCGTCTGCTTTGAAAGTGAGCAAGTTTGTAAGTGTGTTAGAGTTCAGGTTTCGGTCAACTAGAAAGTTTACTGAAAAGAAATGTCATGTTTAACTTTTACAGCAAGATACAGGAGAGGTGGCACCACGAAGTCTGGTTTTTCCATGATATCTTTCTGTCTGTTCTTAAACAATCCTTGACTTTCCATAACACCTTACATCACAAACCACACCTCTGTTCTGGTCCATCCACCAATCAAAAAGCTCTCAAATGAACCAGAAGTATAGCCCGTTTAAATGTGGCAACTTCCCAGTTCAACTGTTGAGTTCCAGTAGAGTTCAAGAGTTGTGGAATCCAGAGTGCAGAGAGTTTGGGAGTCCGTGAATGCAACCGCAGGCATTCATGGATGCTGCTAAACCAAACAAGCTGAACCAGAGACGATTTTGGGAATTATAACTTCTGTTTGGATAACCTCACACGACTCCTAAGGTTTTAGCTGTTCTCACGGAGACGCTGAAAAGAGTCAAAAGAAGAGCTCTACACCAACGCTGAAGCTATCGTCTGCAAGGTAAAAGTTCTATTTCGACCAAGCGTACCGTTGGCCCAAGCTGATTTCAATGGAGCGTGCTGTTCTGGTTAAAACAGACAAATTCCCTCACACATCTCTCTCAGATAAACTTCATCTTTCCATCTTTAAACTCTCCTATCTGCTAGAAAATGAATCCAGATGTTTTCATTAATGTCTGTGGTGAAGCAACGGAAAACCATGGCCGTATGGTTTCCTGGTTGTAAAAGCTGATTAATTATGTTGTTGTTTTCATATTCTGCCAAATTAATGTAAATGTGTGATGTGTTAAACTTGATTCTGTTAATAAATGACCCACTCGCTTGGTGAGTCAAAGATAATTAACGTCTCACGTCCACATTTCTGTTGAATTCAACGCACGAACATCACACAGTCCAGAAAGATGAGTGAACCCGTTTAATGTATGAATATATCTCAGAATATGTTATACTACATTGTTAAGAATAAAATAAAGCTAGCAAGGCGCAAACAAAATTAAAAATTCCCTTCTCAGTGCTTGTATCAGAACATAACTTAAGTAACCATTTTGTTATGATTTGGACCCATAACATCTTTCCATCCATCCATCCATCCATCCATCCATCCATCCATCCATCCATCCATCCATCCATCCATCCATCCATCCACCCATCCATCATCCATCCATCCATCCCTCCCTATTAATTCATTAATTTATTTCTCTCTCTCTCTCTCCATTAATTTATTTCTCTCTCTCTCTCTCTCTCTCTCTCTCTCTCTCTCTCTCTCTCTCT